ATCACGCTCGCTTCCACTCATCGATTGCGCCGAAACGAAACAACGCTTCAACACATCACGTCCACTTGTACCGCTAGTCTTGCAATATTGGATTTTCAGTCATTTATATTTGTTTTATTGTACAATGTGCCATTAACTTTGACTTCACTTTTTGTGGTCAAGGTAAGGAAACTTGTAAATGGAATTACGAGCGTGCACTCGAGAATTTCGTTTGACATATTTTTGGGGTTCCCTATATTGGATAAAAAAATAAAGATTAATGATTTCATTATAAATGCTTTTACAACCAATTCAATCAAAATATTGGTCAATGTAATCAAAGTATTAGTAAATAATAAATTATTAGTCAAAGTATTTAATCTCATCCAGTGCAGCATCGTGTTCTTCAGAGCCGCGTTAAAAATTACAACAGATAGGATATTGTCCATCCTCTAATATGAGCGGAACCTTAATAAAAAGGCTAAATAGGCACTGTTACGCGCTGTGGTTCGGGATAAACAAAAATTCTACCGAAGTACAAATTAGAACTGTATTAACACTTAGAACACTTAAAACACTCAACGAACACTTTAAAGTTCTCAACTCACTTCTTCCGCTTCGCTTCAGGTGATTAGTACGCTGTTTCGCTTCGAGTAAATTCCATTACTAACTGCCTCCGTGTTATCACTGCAATGCTTTTATAGTCGATACGACATCCTTAGAATTATCGAGAACATTCCTCACAAGTTGAGTATTTTCGATATGCGTTTCCATCATTAGACAATAGATGGCATTGTACTTCTCGAGCGTTCTCGATGTTACTAGTTCATTTCATATTTGTTTCTGCTATTCGTTGATAGATGGCGTTACTCTTACAGGCGTAACAATACCATAAGCTACTACGAAATGATTCTATAACGGTAAAACTTAACCATTTTCAAAACTGAGGTGGAAAATTCTGGAAATATTGCTACTGAACCATGCAGTCTTATCCGATTCGCATTAACCGAGTTTTATGTTTGTCAATCAATTTATATAAAACAAATAAAACGCAAGTCCAAGATTGTCTTGATACATCAGTGAGGTACACTTTTGAACAGGCCCTGTCTTTGTAGAAATTAGTGCTTAGAAACCGTATTTTTAAGATACTATTTACAATGGCATTAAAATAAAACTGACAATCGATATGTTCCTTACGTTCTGTTTATCAAAGCTGTGTGATCCTTTAAATAAGGACTTGATTTACTTGAGGATGTTTGCTGCAAGAGAGCGAAATGTGTGCTTCTCAACAGTTTTAATATAATCTTTTAAGAAAAATTAATCTACTGGTGGTGGGAGGTCTTGTGAGTCCGCACAGGTAGGTACCACCACCCTGCCTATTTCTACCGTGAAGCAGTAATGCTTTTCGGTTGAAGAGTGGCGCAGCCGTTATAACTATATTTTTTTTTATTGCCTTTGTAGGCAGACGGGCATACGGCCCACCTGATGGTGAGTGGTTACCGTCGCCCATGGACTTCAGCAATTCCAGGGGCCGAGCCAAGCCGCTGCCTACCAACTATACTGAGGCGTTAGAACTTATATCTCAAGGTGGGTAGCGGCATTTACGCTGTAGATGTCCGTGGGCTTCGGTAACCACTTAACATCAGGTGGGCCGTGAGCTCGTCGTTGATGAAGCAGTAAAAATAACAAAAAAAATCATTGCAATTGTTTCTGGGACGGTTTTATTTGTGGGATTCCAAATGAAAGTCCCCTTATCGAAATACCTGATTTCTATGAGCTGCTTGTAGTGCGTATTAGCTGACTTGAACAGATGTTATGGGGACATCTATACTAATATTATAAAGAGGAAAGATTTGTATGTTTGTTTGCATTGAATAGGCTCCGAAACTACTGAACCAATTTGAAAAATTCTTTCAATGTTTGGAAGCAACACCATTACCCAGTGAAATAGGCTATAATCTTTTTTGAAAAAAAAATAGGGATCCTTACTAAGACTCCAATAATGTAAGCCAAGGTGTAAAAAATTACCTAAATATTCTTTACATCGCGTGCCCTGCGAAAACTATTGATTATAGAATAAAATAATGTACTACGACTTTGTAGAACACATTATTATTTACAAAAAGAATTGTAACAGCATATGTCTAACTATTATCATTATGCCGCAATAAGTGTTCTTTTATTTAAAAAAATAAAACAACGTCGTTGAAAATTTTGTTAAAGACCCGAGCGGAGCCGGAGCGGGCCGCTAGTCTTAATATAAAGAGTAGAGGATCATCGAATTAAATGAAATCTCTACCTTATGCGGAGTTTACATTACGAAATTAGTGTCATGCATGTTGAGCTCAGTTTCACGAAAGTCGTTTCGATATATGCGAAAGTAATTTCGTTAAAAAATTAGTGTCGCGAAATCAACAATATCGCAGTAACCATGGCGCCTTCAGCATCTAAGCTATAATTTGCTATATTCAATGTAGCTAAAGAAATGCTTATATACCTATAAACTTAAAAAAAGACTATCAAGAAAAAAAAAAGTTGGTAGATTCGAGGATGGTCAACAAGAAGGCATTTAGGTGCAATCAAGTTAGTCTCTGCATTAGCAGATGAAGATCCTGAGAGTTATAAAAACTATTTTCGAATGAGTGAAGATAATTTTGATTTTTTACTGTAGGTGTTTTGGGACCCTTGTCATTGATATTCATTAATAAGATCTATATTTTTTTCTGTACTCCATCGTTGGTTTGCCATTTTCAACGCTTGAAGCGCGTCCGAACTAACAATACACACGTCCGCACAGCGCAGGCCCTTTCGCGACATTAGTTTCACGTCGCGTCTACACTATGAAATTAGTTGCATGACACTAATTTCACCAAAAAATCGCCCAGGGCATGAAACTAATTTGCATGCATGAAATTAATGCATGCATTACGAAAGTATTAAATTACACGTGAAACTGTTGGTAAAACTAATGTCACGAAATTAATTTCACGCCACTAATTTCGTAATGTAAATTCGGCTTTACAAGAACCGGACGTTTGACGTGACCACTTCAGGAACGAACCTATGAGCTCCTTTGCATTTTGACGCAAGCGCTCTGTAAATATTTGCGGCGAGAAAAAAAACCCTGAACGAGAAACGTTGTGTGAACGTTGTTCAAGCGTCAACTGTTGCGTAACCGTGTCCAAAAAAAAATGGAACTTACATAAGTAATTTTTAGCAGAAATTCGCGAGATGTTGCTGATATTTTTTTATTTTTGTTGTTCATGTTGCTCTACTGATCTCGTTATACTGTGAGATTTTGAATGAAATATTTGTCTATATATGAAGTGTGTGTTTTTGTTTGTTTGTATGCTATTTTTTTAGGTAATAACGCTACCAGAAGCTTCCTAGTGAGCCCGCAGAATTTGAACTCACTACTCTTATTGATTCTGTATTACTGGTGGTAGTACCTCTTGTGAGTTCGCGCGGGTAGGTACCACCGCCCCGCCTATTTCAGCCGTGAAGCAGTAATGCGTTTCGGTTTGAAGGGTGGGACAGCCGTTGTAACTATACTTGAGACTTTAGAACTATAGTGGGCTGTGAGCTCGTCCACACATTAAAGCAATAAAATAAAAAAATAACAAGTTCACAATAGTCATGTCTTCAAGTGTGAAAGTTAATACAAGAAAAACTTCAAACTCATGTTTCAATGAAGTTCGGCATTCGCTTTGGGCGTATTATTTCGTAGATGGGTCAACGAGCACCCGGTACACCTGATATTAAGTGATTACTGAAGTCTGTAGACTGAACAACGTGAATGCCGCCACCCAATTTGAGAATTCAGGTTTATACGTAAATCGTATAGTAATTACGCAAATTATTATTTTGTACGGGTTTATTTCAATACGCTATATATTTTTTAAGCGCTGGATCTCATTTGAAAACGACAATTAAGTCCGTTTATATTTAAGAAACATGTGTGCAATTCACACGCGGTAAAAGTGAAACCTTCAAACATTTTGGCTTAAAGATAATGAGACGAATGTAAAATTTTGGGAGGAGGATAATTGTAGGCTTTAGAATGATCATAGTGATACAAAGTTTGATAACCTGCCTATTTCTGACGTGAAACAGTAATGCGTTTCGGTTTGAAGGGTGGGACAGCCGTTGTAACTATACTTGAGACCTTAGAACTTGTATCTCAAGGTGGGTGGCGCATTTACGTTGTGGATGTCTATGGGCTCCAGTAACCACTTAACACCAGGTGGGCTGTGAGCTCGTCCACCCATCTAAGCAATAAAAAAAAAAACTATTTTACTTTATTCGTATATATGTATTACATAGACTTGTTCAGAATGAATTAAGTACGAATATTACGTACGAAGTGGTGGTGGTGGTGTTGAGGTGTAACCCACCTGGTGTTTAGTGGTTACTGGAGCCCATAAACATCTACGATGTAAATGCGCCACCCACCTTGGGACATAGGCTCTGAGGTCTCAAGTATAGTTACAGCGGCTGCCCCACCCTTCAAACCGAAACACATTCCTGCTTCACGGCAGAAATAGGCGGGGTGATGGTACCTACACGCGCGACTCGCAAGAGGTCCTACCAGCAGTAATTACGCAAATTATCATTTTGGGGGTTTGATTTTTATTACACGATGTTATTCCTTCACTGTGGAAGTCAATCGTGAACATTTGTCGAGTACGTATTTCATTATAAAAATTGGTACCCGCCTGCGGGATTCGAACACCGGTGCATCGCTCAACACGAATGCACCAGACATCTTATCCCTTAGGCCGCGATGACGATAAAACAGTTCTGTTTACAACAGTATTAAAATTATTCAACTTTCCATTTCGTCCAAGGCTTCATCTTGTAGGACGCGACCAAGAAACAAAAACTGTTTTGCTGTCACTACAGTTTGCATTAAAAAAAATAAGAATCAAGTACGAACTGCAAGTAAACTCTTAATGCCGTAATGTGATTGCGAAAATTCAGGTACTCTGAAGTAAGCCGGGCGCTAGTCAGTCGAGCGCAATTCACACACAGAAAATGACTCTACATTGGTTCTTAGTGATTTTCATTCAGATATTACATTCAGTGCATTCTGGTAACGTTAGTGAAATAAAAAATAAACAGAGTGAGTTTTTATTTTTGTTTAAATTTATGTATTTACATTTCCAAACTTTTGTAGAGCCGTAACAGAACGAATACAAAAGATATCGTCGCTGTCAAACCAAAATCAGCTATGTGCAAAAATTATATTTTGAATTAACGATTAAAAACATTTTCGTATAAAAGTTTAGATAGGTGGATTTTTTAAGTTTTTTTTTTTATTTATTCCTTAGATAGGTGGACGAGCTCACAGCCCACCTGGTGTTAAGTGGTTACTGGAGCCCATAGACATCTATAATGTAAATGCGCCACCCACCTTGAGATATAAGTTCTAAGGTCTCAGTATAGTTACAACGGCTACCCCACCCTTCGAACCGAAACGCATTCCTGCTTCACGGCAGAAATAGGCGGGGCGGTGGTACCTACCCGTGCGGACTCACAAGAGGTCCTACCACCAGTAACTATAACAAGTGAAAGCTATAGATAAATATTAAAGCTATAGACACATAACAGGTTTATTTTTTTATACGGTAGATAGGACTGTGAACTATACGAAAAGGTCAAAAAGTGAAAATCTCAAAAACTGCACATAGAAGATTTTGGTTTGACAACGACAATATGCAAAAATTTACCTATCTAGCCTATCCATTAAATACATGTATTTTCTACATGGATACCAAGTTTCAAGTCAATCGGATGCATGGTTGAGTAGTTATAACGGAACATCCATAAAAACCACGGTAGATTTATATATTAGTATAAATATTTTTATGTTCGTTACCTAAGCGCTCCTTGACTTATAAATAAACCGAAAAGGGGTAACCTATTTGAATTTAGTACATTTCCAGATTAGTCTCATAGAAATTTCATCGGAACTGGCTTAGTAATTCAGAAAATCATAATGTTATTTTGTAAACAAAATTGTGAATTGCTTATTATTGATGAATAATTGATGAGTGTCACCATTGTGGTTGGTTTTAAATAATCATTTTATATAATTACGAGCGAACCCGACAAACGTTATCCTGTACACGCGTCTTAAAATCCAAACGTTTTGTACTGTTATCGCAAAAATTTTATCATATTTTTTTTTATTTGTAATGATTCGAATTGTACCTATAAATCTTTCTCGGATTCACATGAACACGCATATAAAAAAATCATCAAACTCGGCCCAGCCGTTTACGAGGAGAGTTGATTAACATGCATACGGACAGACGTACTAAATACATATTATTATTTAGATTTAACGTACCTAAAGTGAACCAACATGCTAGTGAAACTGTAAAGGCCTCCGGGCCACCAGTAACCCTCTCTTCGTAAAAAACTCTGATAAAAAACAAAAAAAAAACGATCTTATAATTACATATGAACAGGGCTTGAAATTGAATTCGATTTATAGCAGTAGCTTCCGAAATGTGCAATAATAATATTATGTACTTTTTTCTTCGGTTTTTGTATAGTTTTACACATAATTAAAACTAATTGTACGCTTTGGTTTTCATTTCCACGGTCACGGACGGCGAAAACCGTTATGTATTTGAAACATCGCAAAATAATAAACTGACAATTTGAAAAAAAAAGCGCGTTTAAACCGTAAAATGAATTTTAATTATGATGTTGGGAAAGTTTTATTTTTATACGAATCCACAAATATTTTTTATATGTATGTAGTACCTACATAACATACTTTTTATTTCCTTATATTATATTTTAATACATACGATTTCCCATTCATTTACATGGGTGTAGTTAATTTATCTTTAATAAATTTAAACATAATATATATCTCTATAATATAAAACCGATATTCTAAAATTATACATATTATCCAAATCAGTAGTCTAGTCTTACAGTTAAGACCACATTGCTTGGACTGACGCAACGCATTTCGCAAACAAGGGCCAGTTTAGATACATCTGAGGAAAATTTCAACTGGAACAAACAGTATAGTGGAATTTATGATGACTTATTTAAGATAATGTTGGTGAGTTTTATATATTTTATGATATACAAGCTCACAGCCAACCCGATGTTATGCGGGTTACCTGAGCAAATGCTTTATACAATTTGATCTCTAACACTTAATTCATGCTCATATTCTTTTTTATATTATTACTAACAGAACGAATATTTAGAAAATATCGAAAAACATTTGGATCCTTCCATTTATTTGGGAATTCAAAATATCGGGTTCATCGGACGGGTTCACAGCCCACGTGGTGTTAAGTGGTTACTGGAGCCCATAGATATCTACAACGTAAATGCGCCACCCACCCCGAGATATAAGTTCTAAGGTCTCAGTATAGTTACAACGGCTGTCCCACCCCTCAAACCGAAACGCATTACTGCTTCACGGCAGAAATAGGCAGGGCGATGGTACCTACCCGCGCGGACTCACAAGAGGTCCTAACTACTATCCTATATACTAACTAACTATCCTAACCTATTATACTCTATTTGGGAGGTTTGATTAAAGAAAGAGCGACATACTCAGACAGCTCCATTACTTTGAAGTATATATACAAAAAAAAAATAGCTGGCCCGACAAACGTTGTTTTGCCATATAAATTATTTCTAGGAAAGATAAATAACCTAGATAACGACTACAGCGCCATCTGCCAGGCTGATTTGTGAATCTAAACCATCCGGGGTGCCACCCAAACGCATAAAAAAATACATTCAAACCGGTCCAGCCGTTTAGGAGGAGTTTAGTGACAAACACACGCACAGAAGAAATAGTGATATAGAAATAGAACAGTGTTATATTACTTATTGTATAACAATTATTGTCCCACGTTTAAGACCAAAATGCATGACTACTTCGCGGTAGAAATGGATGATGGAGTATTGTGAGTCCGCATCTATCCATCCACACAGCCATCCAAATTAATCCAACACCATCCTAATTTCTGGGTAACCTTTGACATAGAATTGGATAATAAACATTTAATTTTCCCGGTAACCGTACTCGTCGAACTCGACAAAGAGTTCGCCGTGTAACCTAACCAGTGAATCAGCTCGCTGAGTTTCTCGCCGGATCTTCTCAGCGGGTCGCGATTCCGATCCGGTAGTAGATTCATTCGCGAAGCAGCTGCTCTTGAGCTGTTAGGTCTCCTTCGGAGGCGCTCGGGTAGGTGTTAGTAAATCCCACCCCTCCTGGCTGAGCCTTTGCTCGCCCACCTGTCCTGGTGAAACTGGAAAGGCCTCCGGGCCACCAGTAATCCTTCAATCATAAAAAAAAAAAAAGTATTTTCATTATTGATTAAACGTTTGGCAATAACAAGAATGATGAATAATAAATCATATATTTCACTCGAATGCACACCGCGATAGGAAACGCTTAGTTACTTCATCACGAACAAGCAGGATATTGCTAAGTGCTGTGTATTCGCGCGTCGTATGGTCTTCGAACAATTACTTTCCGATTAATATTCAACGGGTAAGCAATAAATATCGATGTTTCTAGAAGGGTTTTTGGGTTCGCGGTATTGGTATGAAGGTTGCGAAAACAGTTCGTATGAAGAAATTTGGTGCGCTTTGGACAAGGGCTTTCTCACTTCAAATCAGAATACATTACTGCTTCGCGAGAGAAATGGGCAGGATGGTAGTACTTTTTTTTGAGTAATGGATGAACGAGTTCATGAGATAACTGGTGTTCTGCAGTTACCAAAGCATGGACTATGGAGACATCGGAACGTGAATGCAACTAACCAACTCGATAATTGTAGCCATCAGCGTAAAAGTAGCCTAACCCACAATTATTTAAATTCAAGCTTATATGACGTATATTGGAATGTATTTAAAACTAGCGACCCGCCCTCGTTTCGCTTCGGAAACATTAAAATTTTATTATTAATAGCTGAGTCCCACGATGTTACCCGCGGTTATTGTCGTACCGCGGGTGACGCCACAGGGCGAAGCTAGTCTAAAAAAAAGTAGCCTAAGTTACTCCTTATATCATCAGCTATCTATCAGTGAAAGTCTCGTCAAAATCGGTCCAGCATTTCCAGAGATTAGCCCGAACAAACAGACAGGCAGACAGACAGACAAAAATTGTAAAAAATGCTATTTTGGTGTATGTACCGTATGTAACGTATATATATTATATTCATATGCATGTAGTAAAAAGCGGTTATTTCAATATTACAAACAGACACTCTAATTTTATTTATATTAAAATTTATAGATATAATAAATATTGATGCAAAACCGGCCTATCTCACCCATAGATAACAGATAGCTTTTTAAGCATTATTTTCGCACGTATTGTTTTTTTCACAAATAATTCAAGACCAAAATTAGCCAAATCGGTCCAGCCGTTCTCGAATTTTAGCGAGACTAACGAACAGCAATTCATTTTTATATAATAATATAGAGATAACATGATATACATCTAAAATAAACTTAATCTATGACATGTCCTTCTTCAAACGAGTCTTGCGGATAGTAGTCTATGGTAGGCAGCTGACGTCATTGCTGACGGCAACCACTTACGATCAGGAGGGCTGTATCCTCATCTGACTACAAAGACAATAAAAAAAACACGTGTGGCACTCGGGGACTGCCGCGGTAAAGCTATTACATTGCATTTTTTTATCAACTAATTATAATTAGGCAATAATAATTTAACATTAAAACAATAATAAAATAAGACGACGCTATACTTATACACATTAACAAAAGCAAAACATTAACTTTTCATGTGGAATTTAATTCTGAAATAATATTTATTATTATTATTAACTGGCCCCTTCACACTCATAAGCTAGACAGCGCGAGAGAGAGATGGGTAGACTTTGATGCGCATGCAGTGCGACGTCACGCCGCGCTCGTAGACACAAACATTACACAAGCGTAACGTGTGAATGTGTTGAACGCGAGCTACACGGTAGACGGAGTGGGGGGTGTTAGGTTTTATTTTCGTTACGGTATTTCTTGATTCGGTCGCCGCGCTCAAAGCCCGCGATAAAAGCTATGCGATAGTTTAATATATTTATTGTACAGCTCTGGATGAAAACAGCATCTGCGGAAAACTAATGATTAATGTTTAAATAAGCATAATGGACGGCGCGACGCTAAGTGTACATTGAAGTATTAAATTTGCAACCATCGAAGTCAATTTCGTAATGTTGTTTAAAATGATTTCCAGAAAAGCGAAACTAGACTTTATTGCGTCTAAATGAGATGCTAATTTATTTTCCACGACTTCGACAGACGACGTTTTGATTTCGTTATAATTTTCGATTCCATAATTCATTAATGGTATGCAGTAAGTAACCATTTATTTTCATTCACTAAATAACAATGTAGATTAAATTTCATTTGATTTTATACACGCATGAATGACGAGCATTAACAAATACATTGACTTAACTATCGATCGACTAGAAGCGTTAGGAAATTATTTAAGTGGCATGCAAAATTGTTGCAATAAAATAGTAAGGAATTTTAACGACCGTTTAAATTCTCTATACCTTATTTCCCTTTGTATCGTTTATTTATTTATTACACTTCATGTAAAATTTACATTGGCGGACTTAATGCCTAAGGCATTCTCTTCCAGTCAACCAATGGTAGTGCAGAGTAAATAGTGGTAGGTGCAATGAAATTTATATTAAGTTACGAATACATACACAAAAAAGTATACATATATACACAATCACATATACATATACATACATACATATATACAATAGTTTATACAGTATTAAAAGGACGACTGCACGACGAAAGAGTTACGAACATAACTAGAACTATGCGTGGGACAACTAATTAATAGGCTATGGACAGAACGTAAGGCTCGCTCATGGCTGGAGTGAATATATTGAAAATAGGGAGTTAGATAGGAAGGAGGTTCGGGAGACATAAGTAAGGAATGAAGAGTCGTCAGTGCACGTAAATTACGACGCTGGCGAAGCGGTAGAAGTTTGAGCTGAGCACGATAGGAAGATATTATTATATGATCATATTTACGAAGTATATTCCTTGGGGAATGCTGTTTTTTTACGCAATGCACAAGTCGTTTTTGTGCAAAATCCATGTTTTTTTTTGTTATTACTTAGATGAGTGAACGAGCTCACAGCCCACCTGGTTTTAAGTGGTTACTGGAGCCCAGACATCTACAACGTAAATGCGCCACCTACCTTGAGATATAAGTTCTAAGATCTCAAGTATAGTTACATGTTCATTACCTAGAATAAATGCGTTCGACCATAGTACCTTAGATATTTTAAATCACATTCTCGATTTAAACAAAACCTTGCTTGGTTCATACCTGCATAACGCTGCTTAATTCTCCTAGTCGTTCCGGAAATGCAAATATTGACAAATTGCTATTTAAATTTTAGTTGGTAATAGTTTATTTTCGGCACCAAACTACAGATAGATTCTCTTTTGGAATCTAGCAATTCTAGACTGGACATTTTCCATCTTTCCAATTTTTGGAAAGTCATAAATTGAAGACTATTTTTGGATCCCATTTGGTTACTTTAACTAAAGTAGCTACAATGTAATCGTAATAAATGACAGATGAATTAATCCAGAATTTTAGGCTTCAGTGTTAAGACATGTCTTTCTTATAGCTTCCTTCCTTAGGCTATGCAATGTCAGCCTAGAATAATATCAGTCTTGTTTATCTTGGACTTGACAAATAGATGCTTTAGTGCCTAAATACATCATAATATATACAGCTACTTGCCTATTTCTGTCGCCAAGCAAACTTGCGTCCATATTTGAAAGGTGGCTATTATGTAATTTAACTAAAACTTGACTTCATGTAGCCAAACCCTGGAATCATTAGTTACATTAAATAGCCACTAAGTTTTCAGGTCATATCAGTCAGGTCATAAAGAAATATACTCTTTGTTAACAGATGTAGAGTCGATACTTGATTACCACTCAATGCCGGCTCTGTCTGAGCTGGACGACTTCGATCTATGCCTGAAGAATCCTGAAGCATTGTATTGCATTGTGGATATGGTGCTAATGGAAGATGACACGCCATTGTATCAATTTATTAAGGTAAGTAAAGTTATAAGAAAATTTCTTTTATTTTACATGGCTCATACATAACGGTACAATGGAAAAGTGTTTTCCATTATCATAGAAGATATTATTAGTTCCTGTTCTGTAAGCTTCATTTCAACGTGAAAAAATGTTTGCATCAAAAGCTCTGACAGTAACTTTATCTATAACACCTATATCATCTTCACTGTTAGATAAAATTGTAACTGGTCATAGCTCAGACCGTATAGATATGACGACGTTAATACTACTTTAAGACGGGATCAAAGTCTAACCTCTATTACAGTGCAGCTATATCCCCTTTTAAGTTTGGAATGCAAGCAAATCGCGACAAGATTATAGCACCTATGTTTGTGGATCTGATTTTATAAAACTACATTATTCTCACAAAGTGGAAGTCGATCTTAAGTACCCCTTAGATATGTGTTTATTAATACGCTTTTATTAGCTTCAGACGTATGTATGTTAGTATGTAACGGAATCTTTGAACATGATTCTGATCAGATTAACTCGAAATTTGGTATACTTATTAAGGACCGATGACAATTAAATCTTAAAAAAAAATTGAAAAAATTGAAATTCAACTAAGAAATGAAAAATAAATAATAGCAAAAACACGCTTTTTTTACAATATTTATAATTTTTTTTCTTACACTATTTTTAATTCAAATTCATCAAAATTTATTTTCTATTTTTTAGTTGAATTTTCTATAAAAGCGTATTTTGTTAGCTTTTTTAAACTATTATTTATTTTTAGATGTCTAGTCAGACTTAACATGTTTACTAGTGCCTAAGTGTCTAGTTTCCTAAAGGTAGGTTGCTGCGGTAGGCAGCGGCTTGACTCTGCCCTTGGCATTGCTGAAGTCCATGGGCGACTGTAACCACTCACCATCAGGTGGGCCGTATGCTCGTCTGCCTACGAAGGCAATAAAAAAAAAAAAAAAAAAAAGTCTTAACTCACGATTCTTCTCCATCCAGAACTTCTCTTCGTTATCGTACAAAAACTACATGCACTCGAAACTCCACCGAGGAGTCTGCGCGTCGCAAAACTGTGGACTTAACACAACGTACGCCAATCAAACCGACACCACCGAAAATGAATTGAAGAGGTGCTTCAATTCCAGCATACACGAAGGATACGGACTTCAAGTAAGCTTATTTATAGTTGTGTGAATAATTCTGGTATGAAATCTTCATGCTACGAAAATAAAGGTACAAGTTAGGACTTGTAACTGACCCAGCTCGCAGGCATTTTGAGATGAAAGAAAGGATGCATCTGGTGATTACCAAAATACACCTTATGAGTAGGTACCAAAATGCTAACTCCACGAAGAATACGTTATCAGCCTCGAGTAAGTCGAGAATGTGAGTCCAAGGATATTAGTCAAAGGTTATTTCTGCCGTGAAGCAGTAATGTATTTTGGTTTGAAGGGCGGGGCAGCCGTTGTAACTATACTGAGACCTTGGAACTTATATCTCAAGGTGGGTGGCGCATTTACGTTGTAGATGTCTATGGGCTCCAGTAACCACTTAACACCAGGTGGGCTGTGAGCTCGTTCACCCATCTAAGCAATAAAAAAAAGAAGAAGAATAGTCGGTTAACAAATTGAAGTCACAATAAATCCATTTCAATAGCAACTATTTGCCAGTTAATATTTCCACCTTCACTGTGGTATAATAGAATAACAGAATTTTAAGACCTATGTATGTCTTACATTCCAAAATATCTACGAGGAATTAAAAAGCTACCAAACCTAACCTTGAGATAAAAAAAAATTGAAGATTTTCGATGATCCCAATGCCCACACGGTGTCAAATATGTAAGGTAAACTTGTAAATATGTAAGTCTGTATAGGAAGTTACCAGTATCTAGCCTATTTCTGTTTATACATTATATTCGAAACTCCAAGTATCTGAAAAGGGTCAGCAGAATCCATGTTGAAGAACTATAAATAAGATCTAAGAATAAAAAAAACACAACTTCAAAGCCTCAAACACTAGAACAAGAGCTAACCTTTTGCTTTAATCTGTATTGCCTTCATAACCAGATTGAAATCGATTTGAGCAAAGATAAAATAAACTATATAGGCTCCGAGTTTCCGACCTCATAAAACTTCTTCAAAAGCGTGTTATGAGGAAACATTCTGAAGATTTCGGATGTAAATTATTAATTTTAGATCATACTGTAGATTGCTTATGAGGCTTTTGCTAGGCATTTTGTTTGATTTTAGACGGTGCCATCACAATTTCTTATTAATATAAACGACTACAAAATTATTCGTAGGTTCTTCGATTGTATCTGTGATCCGTGTTGTTTCAAAATTTTTATTTTGAAATAACTTTCTTTCGTTCTATTGTCATCTTTAGTATATCATTCTTATAACTTAATTTGACGATGACGATGGAGACAATAGTTTCACGAGATCGTACTGCTAGTCTTGTTCTTTATAATATTCGTTTTTTTAAGGCTAAAGTGGCTAGACGATGGCATGACCCATCTGGTATTAAGTAGTCCTTGAAGCCCATAGACGTCAAACCGTAATTGCCAGTAAAGAAGAAAAAAAATGACCTGTGTGTGGGATTCGAACACCAGTATATTCGCATCGCTCGATACGAATGCATCGGCCGCCTTATCCTTTGGGCCACCACTTCAATTCGTCATAAATACAATAATATTAAGCTTTAGTGCAGCGTTATATCTAGAATAGTTTGCTGTTTGTGCTGAATGTTGTTCGCCCCTTTTAACTGTTTGCTTCTTTCAAGGTTGAGTCGCTCTCAGTGCGCTACTGCAAGACTCAAAACGATTATGTTCCACCCGATCTTCTGGACTATATTATTGGTGTTTTATTGCTAGCTGTTCTCTTGGTCAACTTTGGTTGCTCCGCATACGTATACCTGTTTCCCGATGAGAAGGAAAAATGTGAGTAACACTAATAGATTTGTGGCCGTAGCCATCACAGAACAGAAAAATTATTTGACAGATGCCTGAATCTCGCGTAAGACATTTTCAAGATAAGCTTACATATTGCAAGTTCCGGACAATAACATTCGGACCGTCGATCTACTGAGTAATATTTAACCAGCTCGATGGAAGATCTTTCCTTTCGTCGTCAAACCTACAATTTCATTGTAATTGACTAGTGAATTCCGGTCACGTCCCGCTGTGGCTATCGCGTTGTTTATATCAATAAAATCAATGGTATCAATAACAACAGTTACTTTAAGCTATTCATATATACAGTCATACATTGGCTATACTGTAGTATGTGCTATTGTCATTTATATGGTATTAAATTCCGAGTTTTCACAAAAAATCGTTTAGTAGTTTTTGCGTAAAATAATTACAAACATCCACAAAAATTTCAAACTATTCCATTTACAAAATGTTCAGGTCCTAGATCAAAATTAATATTAATTGGCTGTGATTCATTCCTAGAGCTTAAAAAACGGAACCACAAGATTTTATTTATACAACGTCATCTAAGGAGATAATAGTGAACTACTGAATTTGTCACGAATACCCACTTCGATAAAGCGGCACTACATGAGAATTATCTCAATGTGGCCGCCGGAAACTACATAGCTGATCCTACGGACCAAATGGTAAACAGTCGACGTCGCCCAAAACACGTCATTTCGGCTCCTCCCGATACAGTAACGGTGCTTTTAGGTACCTCAAGCACCGGTCATCGTTCTCGTCGAACCTGTCGCTTGCGACGAAGGGCTCGGCGAGTAAATTAACCCACAGACACAGCCCACTGAGTTTCTCGCCGGATCTTCTCAGTGGGTCGCGTTTCCAATCCGCTACCATCGGATTCTGCGAAGCACGGCTCTTGCTAGGGTTCATGTTAGCAACATCGTTTGACTCCGTGAGCTCACCTTCTAGTTAAGGTTACGCTGATATGGTCTCTCTAGACCACAAGTTTAGGTAGAAAAAAAAACGAATAGAAAGTATTACTATCATGTCAACGAAGACTTTGACGAGGTGAACCTTTTTTCCCCTACCTATTCTCTGTTAGCCTAAGGGGGCTATTCCAACTTAGCGTGAACCTGTAGGTGAGCTCACGGGCTCAACCTGAAAGAATTTGCTAACACTAGCTCTAGCAATGCTTCGCTGAATCTACCACCGTATCAGAATCGTGACCCACTGAGAAGATCCGGCGAGAAATTCAGTGGGCAGTGGTGAATCGATAGCCTTCTTAGGATAGTCCAGCAGTGGATATTTCTTTGGAGATTGTGATCACAAATATTGTATTGTTTTATCTGGTAGCAGAACTGTTAATGAGGCTGCACGGGTAGATACCACAGTCCTAGTTATGTCCGCTACAAAGCAATACTTTATAGTTTGAAGGGTGAGAGCCATTATATAACAATGTTGGGTGCTTGCCTCACCTTGGGACCTTGTGCCTCAGTCGAGTTAACTCTCTAATGTCTATGAGATTCAATGTCCACTGACAGCTTCAATACTCTGTTTCATTTAGGCAACAGATACTTGATGGCGTTTTGCGTGCAAAGGAATTGGAAGGCCCTCAAATATGGTGGTAGTGCCGACGGTGGAATCTTCAAATGCTTTCAAGCGTTAAGGTCAGAATTTCATTTATTTTTTATTTTTTATATATTATCGCCTCTGAAGGTAGAAAAGTAGATAACTATTTGATTTTGAATAGCCGTCGATACTCTAGAGATCAGCAATGCAATGAAAACAGCTGAGTCACTGCACATCCTTTAGCCTATTTCCAAACTTCGTTTTAACGAAAAACCGTAGAGATGAATTGTCATTTCAAAACCCTAATGATGACCTTGAAACGAATGGCGCAATGTTAAAAGTGAAACCTTCAGACCTCCTCATTGTCAGACCACTGGCATGAGATATACAATACGAAATAGACAGATCAGATCAAGGTCTCTACATCTTGTTGAATTTTTTGTTTTTTCGTAGTTGCTATATTGTTTAAATTCTATTAACGTATCCCAAACGATTTTTTGACGTGATAACGTCTTATAAATCGGTGAAAACTGACTGCACGCATGAAAAAGTGTCACGTTCCGCCTGAGCCCGAGCGTGCAAGCGAGAGCGCGGAACAAGCGATAGAGAGGCACGATCGGCCCATACGTTGGCTTGTGACACATTTATTTATTATCTCGTGTGACGTCAGAGCTAGCAGTTTGAATATTTCTGCTACTGACCTCAACACGTAAAATTATCGTCCGTAAACATAATTAAGTAATACGTAACCGAACTCATGGTCTACCCGCTGGTTCCCGAAGCCCACAAACATCATCTCAGCACACGTTTCGGAACATCACGTGAAAGAATAAATTGTGTTAGCTTCCCTACAACAAATTGTTTAGATCATGTATTATTATTTCCTAGATTCTACACGATGGTCATGATCCTTGGTCTTCATTCAATGATATTCATTGGCTACGGTTACACGGCAAATCCTGAATTTATAGAAAAGGTAAGATTTTATAATTTTATATATAATAAGTACGTGTATTTTGTGTACACATACAATATCTAATTATTTAAATTAAAGCCATACACCTATGAATTTTTTTACCCTGTGGTACATTTATTGCACCTGGTGGAGAATGTCTTAGGCATTATGTTAACCATTGCGCCTTTTGTGAATTAAATAAATGTTATTATTGTTTAAATATTTATTTTATATTTCATAATAATATATATATTTCACAGAAATTCAACCTGAATTAAAATTGTAGTGAAATCTATATCTGTTATAAAAATGAATTGCTGTTCGTTAGTCTCGCTAAAACTCGAAAACGGCTGGACCGATTTGGCTAATTTTGGTCTTGACTAATTTGAGGAAGTCCAGGGAAAGTTAAGAGGTAAATAAATATGAAAATTCTCGGAATTAAATAAAAATAACAATTTTGCTTTTCCTTTGATGTGTCTCCCGTCGAACAGAGTCCTTTTGTCTTTTATGTATCGATTGAGGCACTACGAAGTCTGCCGGGTCAGCTACCTTACCTACCTTACCTATAAATATCTATGCGATGGTAGTATACAAAATAAAATAAAAGTTGTCCAAAAACTTATTTACCAAAAAGTTATTTTGGAAAAATCAGTTATGACATTTAATTAAAGATTTTCATATTTAAGTGTACATTGCCGGGGCGGGCTATCGAGTTCCATTGTTGACATCCAAGAAAGAATTAGAAAGAGGGTAGTTTTTCTTTTGGTACTAGGTGGCCTTTTTTTGTACCAGCATCTGATTCTCCTACGAGGCCTTGGGGCCACGCGGGGTATTTGGGACTGGACGGTCCACAAATGGCCCAAGAGATAGAATTTAAGACCCTACCCACTAAGCGACTCCCCTGCACTCTTTCATCCGACATCCGATCTCCATCTGGGGTCAGAATCTGGTCAGAGTAGGGAGTTTTCCGCGGTCAATACTATAACCAGACTCGCTGCGCCACCACGCCGATTTATATCAATTTTGGTGGTGGGCAGTGCGTTGGTAAAAAGGCAACGGGCAAACCGAAGTCCCTTCGCAGACCAAGAATGACTAACGACCGTAAGAATGGGACCAAGTGACCCGTAGGAATGGGATTACTGGTTTATTTGGATGAGATTAGTGGTTAGAGATTCATTTTTAACTGGTGTTAGAACTTCTTGTGACCTCCTAGTTTAAGTACAATCATCTTGCCTACTTCTGGCGTTAAGCAATAATACGTTTCGGTGTGGAGAGTGGCGTAGCCATTGTACTGTAAAAACGGTGACTTAGCAATCGGACCTGAAGGTGGGCGGCGGCATTAACGTCGTTAATGTCTATTTTTTTTTTTTATTGCTTAGAAGATGGACGATCTCACAGCCCACCTGGTGCTAAGTGGTTACTGGAGCCCATAGACATCTACAACGTAAATGCGCCACCCACCTCGAGATATAAGTTCTACGGTCTCAGTATAGTTACAACGGCTACCCCACCCTTCGAACCGAAACGCATTACTGCTTCACGGCGGAAATAGGCCGGGTGGTGGTACCTACCCGTGTGGACTACCAAGAGGTCCTACCACCAGTGATTACGCAAATTATAATTTTGCGGGTTTGGTTTTTATTACACGATGTTATTCCTTCACCGTGGAAGTCAATCGTGAACATCCGTTGAGTACGTATTTCATTAGAAAAATTGGTACCCACCTGCGGGATTCGAACACCGGTGCATCGCTACATACGAATGCACCGGACGTCTTATCCTTTAGGCCACGACGACTTCCCTATGGGCTAAGGGCTCCGGTGGTCACTTAATAGGTAGGCCGTGAGTTTGTCCATCCTTCTAAGCTGTAAATTGATAATCCGTGTGGTCCTCTTCTATATGGCCTCAAATAGAATTAGCTGGTATTTGGGAGCCCTGGCCCAGAGATGAGAGCAGTCTTCATGCGAAACCAAACTTGTAAGCACAGGTTGCTGGGCCAAGCTGGGCCAAAACTTGTGCAACATAAAGCTATGATGTACAAGTTTTGGCCCAGCCCTGAAGTATCGCTTCGCTTTGTTGATGTCTCAAAGGAGGACTAACTTGATTTTGCCTTTCAAATGACTTCGATTCTGCAAAATCGTTCCAAATATCAACCCCAAGTCCAATAATTTCGGAAGGTTGCGGGCATACTTCTCGGAATTTCGGGGTCACGACAAAGGGACCCTTCTTAGAAGTATACGCGTAAACCTGTGTCTTTAAAAGATTGAATTCAGCTAAATTAAGCTAACCCTATTCGAAGACCCGCCCCAGAGAGTTCATCGCTACAAAATTATCGTCCATTTAATTTAAACTAGACGATGACCGAGACGATGTTTTTTTTTTTGATAACGCCATCTTGTCGTGTCTTTAAAGCGGTTAGTTGCCCTCAAATTTAGAAAAATACTATTATTAATCGCCAATAGATGTCGGGAAGAGTCATAAAGTTGATTATTGAAAACACGAATAAAACAACATTTTCTGAAAATAAATCGTAGCTAGATCGATATAGAGTGTTAACTATGACTGTGGAAGGATTTAGAGGAAGAGGTAGACCTAAGAAGAAATGGATGGATTGTGTGAAAGACGATATGGGTAGGAGGGGAGTGAGCGAAGAAATGGTATATGATAGAAGAGTATGGAAGGACAAAACATGTTGCACCGACCCCAGGTGACTGGGAGAAGGGCAGGATAATGATGATCGATTTATAGCCCCCGAAATCCCCTGTATTTTATGAAAATCGCTGGAGCCGTTTCCGAGATTCAGATTATATAAACACAAGAATTGTTCGATTAAAGGTATAAGATAGTTCACGAACAAGAGTCTCGTAAATTTGAGGTGCTTAAAAAATATACATCGTCTTATCCTCGTGAATGTAGGTTAAATAAACTGTACGTGCTTATGTATGATGTAAATTTATATTCCTATACAATGAGGTCGTTATGTAGTGTCACCCTAACCACATTACCTTTAGGTAATTACTTTCCTGCAAACAATCTCTTCGCATGTTGACACAGGAGTGGAAGGGGTCACAAAAACAGCGATTTCAATTTTTTTATGAAAAATCTATGTCACGTTAACACGTAAGCTGTTTCATTATAACGGTATTCGTGTAGGATATTTTGATACGTACTTTAAGATAAAGACGGTAATGAAATATTAACTCTAACGATTTTATTAAGTAAATTGACAATTATTGCTTTGCTAGACTCGGGATTCGAACTTAGAAAGAATTTGAATTTGATATGGAGAGATACGCAAGATATGCTTAGGGCGCCGGCTGTGAGCGGCAGGAGTTTTTAGTGAGGTTCGTCTCCCACATACCCACATGCGGGTGGGAAACCAGCGACTTTCTCCAGTGGAAAAAAAAAAAAACAGTTTAAGGACCGGAGCGGTCCCTGTGGGTGGATACTATTACTTTGCCAAAACAAAATTAGCGGTCCCTTGGGACTGCTGCAACTCACCTACCCAGAATACCCCTTTTTTCGGGTAGAGGGCCGAACCTCCTACGAGGTCCCCGCGCAAAAGGGGCGCGCGGGGTATGTGAGACTCATGACCGCAAGTTTTCTTTTGAATATGTAAGAAACGCGGACCGCCATGGCTCATCTAGGCTAGTAGCTATAACATGTTAAAGGGGAAATATTTGACAATATAATTGCATAATAAAAAAAACTAAAACTAGGAATAGTTTATTGGAGTTATTCTTTATCCATATGCGTTTAATTAATTTTGGCAATAATAGCCAAAAAAATCCCGGTCCTTAACCTGTTAAGAAAACTTCAGCAAGGCTTCGCTAAAATCATTTTTTTCTGTATCAATTATAATATATATCTTACTAACTCGGATAGTTTAGTGGCCCAACAAATTCACTTATACCTTGTTGATTGACCGACATCTCCGTATAATTATATATCGTATACAGCCCATAAGTAAGTCATTAATGAGGCAATGTCGAAAGCGAGAAATTTATTAAGGGGCTCGTATATAATATATTTATGTTTTTTTTTATTGCTTAGATGGGTGGACGAACTCACAGCCCACCTGGTGTTAAGTGGTTACTGGAGCCCATAGACATCTACAACGTAAATGCGCCACCCACCTTGAGATATAAGTTCTAAGGTCTCAGTATAGTTACAACGGCTGCCCCGCCCTTCAAACCGAAACGCATTACTGCTTCATGGCAGAAATAGGCGGGGCGGTAGTGCCTACCCGTGGGAACTCACAAGAGGTCCTACCACCAGTAAAAAATGTATGTCGCAAGATTGTGCCGATATCTAGTGATCTGATTTGAAAAATTCTGTCAGTGTTAGATAGCCCATTTCTCGAGAAAGGCTATAGGCTATATAACATCACGCGAAGAATAATGCGAGCGTAGCACCAATAAAGAATGTTTCAAAATCGGGTTATTTTCCCTTTTGAGAGCTTCCACTGCGTGCGCTGCGAAAATAGTTAAAGTTTCGCTAAAGTAATGTATAAGGGAATTGTTCCCCTATAAAAGATCTAAAAACAAGTCCGCGATAGCATATGTCTATATGTTGAGGTTCGCTTCACTATAACGTTTTTTATGCTAACTAAATTTGTTCTAAAACAAATCATTATTTGTTATTCCACGCGGACGAAGTCGCGGGCAAAAGCTAGTATATTTTATTTAGATTGATTTAACGTAAATCTCAGTTTTAACAGAAAAACTGCTGCCCCGCCAAACAAATAGGAACTCTTTACAGCTTTACGGCAGAAGTAGACGTGTGGTGGTACCTACCCGTGCGGACTCACAAGACGCACTAACACTACTGGGGTTGTATTGTTCGTATAATGCTATATTATTATAATAATAAATACATTTTTTACTGTTATATTACATTATCTCCTAATAATTTGAGAAGAGAGGAATATTTAAAGTCAAGAAACATTTTTAGTTCATTAAGATAACGAATATCTTCACCACGAAATAGGTCAAGGCGATCCGACTAAATATTTTTTACCACATAGTTTTCTAGTATATTTTTTGTTCTTATAACGAATTGAAACCGCAATTTCCATCGGTTTGAAATTACACAAGAAAATTCGTACGCAACGATGCGCCGAGGACAACGACAATGGCCCAATTAAGAAATTACTCACAAACTGATTTTTCAACGTAGCAACAATTTTTTTTATTTATTTATTGCTTAGATGGGTGGACGAGCTCACAGCCCACCTGGTGTTAAGTGGTTACTGGAGCCCATAGACATCTACAACGTAAATGCGCCACTCACTTTGAGATATAAATTATAAGGTCTCAAGTATAGTTACAGCGGCTGCCCCACCCTTCAAACCGAAACGCATTACTGCTTCACGGCAGAATAGCCAGGGGAAATAGGGTGGTACCTACCCGCGCGGACTCACAGGAGGTCCTACCACCAGTAACCAGTACAGAAAAGAAAAAACAAATAGCATTGTGATAAGAAGTATTGGTCCCGAGAGACAGATTTTTGTTTTGCATTAACGCGAGCCAACTCGCGAGTAAAGGTTATAAATGTTCGGAATTTAGAAGGGACATTTGTTGTACGTTATCAAAGTAGATTCAGCGAAGCACTGCTCTTGGTAGGGGTAGTGTTAGCAAGCTCCCCAGACTCAGCCCCGTGAGTTCGCCTATACGTACGGTGAAGATAGGATAGCCCCTGGGAGACTACTTCTTCTTCTTCTTCTCCATCGCTCCCTCATTACTGAGGATCGTGACTCCGTTTCAGCTTGTCGGCTGCCAGCCTCTATCAACTCCGGTCAGTTGCCTGGTGTAGTGCAGCGCTAAGTAATCCGCTGGTTTGCTCGAAGATCTGATCGGACCAACGTTTGGGGCTCCGACCTCTAGGACGTCTCTACTTTTCCAGTGACCATCAGACGTTCCAAGTCATCTACACCTCTGCGGGCAACGTGGCCAAAGTAGCGCATTATGTGTTGCAGACAGGCGCTAGACAGGCGTTAAGGGTTCTCCATTTTAAGCTGTTGTAGGACCGATGTTGGTCGAGGCTACTAGTAAAACTAGTAAAAGCAAAAACATGAAACGTCTCTTTATTCCACAGTCATACGACGACTTCTTCAAGTCGCTGCTGTTCAACGCCCGGGTCATCGTTCAAATATTCTTCGTAATGGGAGGCTTTCTGATGGCATACAAGATGCTGGAGTATGCTGAAACCCACCGGTTCAGCCTTAAAACCGTTCCTATGGCTCTCATTAACCGGTGGTTTAGGTAATGCAAAAAATATCAATCATTTAAATCAACCATTAAATTATTTGCCTTTAGTCTTGGAATTTCCTTCTTTCCCAATAGAATTTCCCAAAGAAGAATTTTTAGATGTGCAATAAACCTTACAGTGGCGTATTAGAATTTTTACTGGTGGTAGGACCTCTAGTGAGTCCGCACGGGTAGGTACCACAACCCTGCCAATTTCTGCGGTGAAGCAGTAATGCGTTTCGGTTTGAAGGGCGGGGCAGCCGTTGTACTATACTGGAACCTTAGAACTTATATCTCAAGCTAGGTGGCGCATTTACGTTGAAGATGTCTATGGGCTCCAATAACCACTTAGCGCCAGGTAGGCTGTGAGCTCGTCCACCCATCTAAGCAATAAAATAATATGATAAAAACATTGTAGGTACAATAGGATCCAACTGTGCAAAAAATGTAAACGTTAATTAATATCACCCCAAAATAATACCATAGAATAAACAAGACATTCGTTCTATTGCCTAAATTATAAGAAGGCTTATGTGATTATTTTTTTCAGACTCATTCCAGCAGTTTTAGTCGTGATGGGCCTAGCGATGACCTGGGTACCACACATGGGCTCAGGACCTATGTGGGACGCCGTGGTGAAGAGAGAAAGAGATATTTGTAGGAAAAACTGGTGGCAATTAGTGATCCTGATGCCCAATCTGTTCCCTTTTGAACATTTATGTCTACCCCAAGCTTGGTAAGTATGTTAAATACAATAAAAAAATGCGTGAGTTGCGAGATGTCAATTATTGTATGTTTTTATTGACAAATATTGGTCAATATAAAGTCATTGTGAAATAACTTATAAAAACCAACTCACGTTTTTTATTTATACTTAAAATGTTTTTTTTCTTAATCACTCTATGTTGGTTTTGAACTAATAGATATCTTATTTTCTACTTTTTAGTTCAGCTAGCCACATAAGCGTGTTTTTTAGTTTTACTAAAACATTAATTATATTTTGCTGTCTTAGTTCATAATAAAGAAGGCAATATGATGAATCACTTACCATCAAGTGACCCGTCTTGCTCGTTTGCCTCTTAGTTGTTATAAAAAAAAAATTTGGCATACATCATTTTATTATATGAAAACAGGTTATTAGGTCGTCCTTTGACTTATTGTATAATCCAACCATTTTATCTAATGCATCACGAATACACGAGACACCCCTTTTGGCATTGAGCAATCAAGTTTTTCTATCCAATTATGGGTTCTGTGACTAACCGGGTTTTTGCATAGAATTAGGGTTCAATTTCGGAGGAGTCTACAAAGCAGCTATCATATCTAAGGGAGGCATCAGGCGCGTACACACCTTAGTGCATAGCACAAAACACTACCATGCTTTAACTGTTGCTAATGCTGAAGATCTCGATAAGGATAACCGGATATTTTATTTAATCAGTCCTTGATAAGTGTGCAAAATTGAAAGCCAATTTGACGCTTTAAGCTGAGTGAAATTCACGTTCGAAGATTCCGTTACATAGATACATACCGAGCTACTAAAAGGGTGTTAAAAACGTTAACATTCTAAATAGGTATGTAAAATAATCGAATTCCAAAAAATAAATTTCCATAACCATTATTATAATAATAATAATAATAATAATAATAATAATAATAATTTATTTATTAACCATGATACATTTACACATAACAGTTTGCTAAAAACTCTCCACACTAGGCACTGCCTGTCTCGTGGAGAGTTTTTTTTACAGGAGTATCTTAAAACTAGTAATAACGGTGCTGAATATACAAGTAAATCAAAATAGTTAAGCGAAATATTATACATATANACATTACAATAATTTTATAACTTCGTTCTAATAGTCTAAAATATCCGGACTAGTTTCAATAGGACAAAAGAAGAATGAACACAATCAGTAGTTTGGTAATTAGCCGTATTTTTTAACAAAATTTAGCTTTGATTTGGTATGTCTCAAGAAAGATATATATTTTTATTAGGCAAATCGCAAACGTCCTAACACTCTTTTTTTTTTTTTTTTGTCAGGAGGAAATCGCCGGTCTTCCGGCCTTTTCTGGGGATACTGGGCGGGGTATGTCAGAGTCGAACTGACTAAAACCTCCTGTCGCTCAACAACCAACGTCCAAACCTCGCATGAGACAGAACTCATGACAAGGCAAAGGGGGGAAAGTGAAGCGTTTAGTGCGGAGCACATCTCTCCCATCACCCTCCCCCTCGGGACGCCGGACTGGCGGTCGTCGGCGCCACGACCACCAGCCCTCTCGGTCGGCAGACTGTCCGAAGCCCGCCTAGATGGCGCCGGTTAGAGTGGGTTACCCTACGGAATACCCCGCTGGGCCAGAACCAGCGTGGGTCGAGGATAGCCGGCCTTCCATCACCCGGATGCTCTTGCGTAAAACGCGTGCAGAGCAGCTTGCACGTCGTCTTCTTAGGCCCCCCTCG